GTTTAGATATAAGTTTTAAAGACTCATATGTATGGCTTAGGTGGAGTACAACGTATGCTGTTTCCTGAACAAAGGAAATTGCAGTGCCTGGGTTTACAAATTACAAAAATCATAATGTAACATGCGTGGTTTTAAAAGAGAATGTTGTATAAGCCTAGCCTATTGCAGCTTGTTCAGCAAATCAAAGTTAAACAATTGAAAGCTTAACAGCTAGGTTGCCAGCATGGGGCTGTACAGGTCCCTGCTTCACCTGATTTTATTTTAAATGTCTTTAATGTAATACATGTGAAGCTATTGTGCTGCAAAGCACAGCATCTGCTTCAAACATATGTATTCCCAAAGGTATTTTTGGGGCAGACACAGACCACAAAAGCATTTTTAGAAAATGAAGAATAGTCAACTGCAATCCAGTGCTTTGTCTGGAAGCCTGTTTATCTACTTCCCCAATGGACCTGCCTAAAAAAAAAAGACAAAGGTAAATAAAGAACATTTTAAGAGACTAGAGGAATTATGGGAAGCAGTGTCACCAAGTTGTTTCCTGGTACATGGCTGACTGGTCTGACCATGCCCATCACAGCTATTTGTGAGAGGGCCCTTCATACATGCAGATTTCAAAATGTGCCCATTTGTTCCAAAAGCTTAGGCAGTTTAGCACAGTGTGAGAATCCAATCACTGTCTCATGTTTCCTCTTAGATAAAATGTTGTAACATGTTCATTATTTTTGAACGTGATTTTCTTTGAAAAACATCTAGAAATTTCAGCTGATTCAAAAATACAACACTGTTTTGATTGGAACTATCTGGACAAGCTGCACCTTCTAATTTGTTTCTATTCTTGTTTTTAAAGCCCTAAACAGTTTGGGATTAGGGAATTTGAAAGACTACATATCCCCGTGTGCTCCTCGGTGTACCTAGATCTTTGGCATGGGTTCTGTTCAATGTCCCTTCACTGGTAGAAACTTAAGAGGTCAGTGTGTTAACATTTGTATTATTGTAGCAACAGGCCTTAAAACTCTCTGTTTAGCTGCCTCTGTCAGCAATGGCACTCCAGTGTCTTCTAAGAATGGCTGACATACTTTTGACTGTAACCCCTGAATTTAATCCTGCTTTTCTCAAAGCAGTCAGTTTTGTGACACAGTGTGCTTTTCCATAAATTGATGTGAGCCTTAGGAAAACAAAACCTGCAGGATAAAAGTAAATAGAAGCTCTAAGGGCATCTTCCAGATAATAATTACAATTACTAATACTAATTTTAAATTACTAATATAAACAGTAGAAAATATTACTAAATATAGCAATTCAAGAGAAAATAACAGAACCATTAAGCCAGATCTGACAATTTAAATGGTTTGAGTAATCATGCAAGAGGTTCAATGTTTCCATTTCTTGTAACAATTTTTAATATTTTTTAAAATATGTTTGTATATTGGCTTTTAATTTGCTTTTATTGGATTGTTTTTACCTGTTATGAGCTGCCCAGAGCCGCTTAGATGAGATGGGTGATCATGCAGATTGAATAAATGAAAAGAATAAAACATGTTTTGCCTTTCTTCATGGAGGCTAGGATAACATACAGGGGGTTTCCACACACTCTTCTGTTAATGAAGTGAAAAGAATTCCAGATCTCCTTATTTCGTCTCAAGTATGTTTTTAGATCACTGTCCAGAACCCAATTTAAGGACCAGCCACGTCTTTATTTTGGACGAGCGTTTAAATAGCTTTCGGGCACTACTATTCTTCTCTCCTGTAAATTAGGCATGCAGCAATAACGATCTACTCACAACTGAAAGCCATTACTTGCAAAATGTGAATAACTCTCTAAAATAATAACATGTTTTTTAAGGTAAAAATAGCAGAACGTTGTTCCAGAAAGAAAAACTGCAGAGAAATAAAGTTGCAGAAGCCTTATAAAGAATGAGAAAATAGCGGGACTACTCTGAAAACTCTCCGTTGGAAAGTATAGAATCAGAACAATAAAAAGACCCCCCCCCAAAAAAGCTGTTCGTTTAAAGTACTTACAAAATGAAGCGAAAATATCATTTATTAACTCCAAGCGTAATTCTGAATTTCTCCCCCCACACCATTTTTCCTGGAGAGAAAATCGCGAAACAGGAAGTGCTCCCTTCCCACGTTTCTTACAGGCGGGACCTCAATGAAAGGCGGGAACTTGAACCAAACTTGCGCGACGATTGGAGACGGAAGTTCCTGGATCCGTTGGCCGCCATTTTGCCCTTCGCCTGCTTTCTATAAGAAGGAATGACAGCTTTCTATAAGAAGGCGTGGATAAATCTAAGACTGGAAACGTTTCGGTGATTAGGTAGTAGCGTGGGCTGTTCGTAAACGTTGAAAGGGAACAGCAGCTTATTTCAAGCCGTTATTACGACCAAAAGTGTACTAAAATGGGTCAATCTTTAGCCTGGAATCTAAATGTGTCGGGACTACAACTCCCAGAATTCCCTTGGACTATGCTAGGAATTGTAATCGCGTGATCCCCGGAGAAGTCAGAAATTGCTTTTATCTTTAAGTTGAAACGAGGGGGCTCTGCTGCTATTCTCCCGGAAGTACAATTGCCATATATCAGAAATGAGTTGAAATGTAACTTTTTGGTATTTACTGATGAAATACAACATCGTATAACTAAATCAACATTAATGGATAAATCCAAAAGTTCAGAAGAATTTAGAGCTGCTTATATCTGTGCTGCTACAATCAGAATGACTACTAGATGGCAGTAAAGAGGTAGTGGTTTCTGCATGCTTTGTTGCCATCTAGTGGT